CAAAGTACCAGTTTTCTGGTTTAGCCCGCGCCTCATTCTGTGCTTCTAAAATGGCTTGGCTACTCTGCCAGCTCCATTCCAGGGTTTGCAGGATTTATATCGTTGGGTTTTTTTTCTGTAAATGGGTTATAGAGAGAACCTAAGGTAGAGAGAGCCTAAGTTTATACCAATAAAATAGCGTAAAGTAGTAAGCTTTCAGCTTTCCTAAATTTTTAACTTTGTAAGAATTGTATAGCCTTTCAGTGGTGTCTCAGAAGTATCAAAGACCTTCACGAAGTGTTAATAACTATCATATTGCTTTAGAGAAAAAACAAGTCTGTTTATAACACCTGGACCACATACCAAAAGAGACAAAGCGCAGTGAAAGATTTTCTGATACACAGGTCTGAAATTCTCATTTGTTGCATTCAGAGAGGGAATAATCAATCACATGCCACTGTATAATTATAGATCTCGTGGGTTCACGTCTGTGTCCTTTTCTTAAAGTGTCCTTCCAATTTTAGAAATCAGCAGAAAAACTGGTCCAGTTTGTTTTCTGGATCACCCCAGACTGTAGAGAAGAGCATCTGCATTCTCCTCTTTTCAAGCTTCTTGTGAAAACAAATTAGTTCTTGTGCTAATGAGTATGCAGATGTGTACCTTAAGAGGAGATGTCTAATATCTGATGAAAAAGTTCAAAAAGTTCAAAAGCAGGTCAAAAATAAGGGCCAGTAGTACCCTGTTAGGCTCTGGATGCAGCTCTTGGTGTTCTGACTCCTCAAATTCAGCACAAGTGGATGGACGCAGACCAGAAGCAGTATCAGTGAGGTTGGGCACTGCTTACTGCAGAAGCAGGTTGTGTTCTTCTTGGGATATCATCAAGACCTTGGATACGTGCTTTAAAATCTTCGGTCACATACTGGTTAATGGTGATTTTCTTTGTTCCACAACTGTGTTTCAAGTCTAACAGGAAAGCAATATCCCCAAATTTCATTTAAATGCCTTTTCCCACATATAATAGGGCTTGGGATTCAAAGGAATTCATTCAGCATGCTCTCCTATGCCATTTAGCTTCCCGTGAAAAAACAGTAACAGGAAGAGTTGTTTTAATTAGCACATGAGCTGTGCAGCAGCTAATATATTCCACCTCTTCATTGTTGTGAAAGGAGCAGATTTCATGGTAGCATGAAGCGGGCAGAGAAGAGGGATTGTGTTCTGCTCTCCATATGCGCACACAGCCCCATTCACGGGGAAGGTGTGAACGGGAGGTGATTTGTAGCCGCCTGCCATTTGTACAACACAAGCTTCTGTTGTTCTCCAGGCTGGAGAGAAACCCGGCTCCCCTCTTCAAACCTACGGCAGTGTGACAGGTAGGCAGCAGCCTTCGGAAAACCTGAGATTTTTGTTATTAATCTCAACAATAAGCTGGCAGAGAAAACTGGTTTTTTAATATACGTTTTTAAAAAGAAGAACTGGATGTCAGGCTGGAAAAAGAGAGCCGTGACTTCCCCGGATATTTCTTGATCAGAAGTCCCAAGGAAGCCACATTTTTAGAGAAAACTTGGAAAGTACGGCCCTTTTCCTCCATTGGGTCAACCTCAAACTGGCACCGGATCGAAGCTTCAACTCCCAGTGCCCCCCTGCTCCAAACTGGGTCCAGCACCACGTTCTGCCATGGAGACTGGAAGCACACATTCAGCCAGTGCTCCTTGAGATACGCTCCGGTCTGCATGGTTGAACGTGGAGGGTGAGGAGCTGCTGGCATGCCAGGGCTCTTGTCTTGGTTCGGGCGATGACTGTGAAGCGATGTGGCCTGTTAAACAGATGGTGAGAGTGGATGATTTCATGGCCTCCTCCAGCCCCCGAGCGCGTCAGCACAACCTGTGAAGCAAAGCCCGAGCTCCAGACAGCATTTCCCTGGCAATGAGGTTCGAGCGGTGCGTGATGGTACAGGGACTGCGCTTCACTGAGAAATTGCTCAAGAGAAAATTGACCCAGTAACAAAAAGCAAAGCGGGACGCACCAGGCCAGGCAAGTTGAGGAGCATCTCGGGGGCTTCCAGCCATGAAGCCAGACCGTGCCCACTGGAAACTGCTCTGCAGTTCCAGAAGGGGGAAGTGACAAGCTGGTTTGAAACTTCTTGGTCAGAAGGCTCTTGTTACAATAAAATGAGAGAGAAAGATAAGTGATGCCAACAGGAGAAGGAAACAAATATTTCTTTTTATGAGAAAAATAACTGTAGGGCCAAAATAAAGGGCTTTTAGATGGTTCGAGAAAATAAACAATTAAGAAAAAAAAGAAGAGTGTGCAAAGCATAGCAAACCTGATGTGATTTTTACCTTGCCTGAACTTGTTCAACGCGGGGGACTTGCGTTCGCTAGGGAAAGGAAACATTCCAGAGCTGGCTTGGCCAAAAGCAATGGCTTTTGCTGACAGAGATTAAAGAGAGGACAAAGAAAACATAACTACTTACACTAGCTAGGGGCTGCTTATCTCTAATGTGGCTAAAACAGAGAAAGCTTGTCTCTTGGAGAGAAGAAAAATCTAGTAATACAATAATGAGATATGGCTCTTCATTTTAATTTTCACTTCCAAAATGCTTTTTGAATGTTAACTGTTAAATACACACAGCCTCTGAGTTGGGAGCTAACAGGGACTGCCCCATTTTCTCATCCCCGTGTTTTCCCACGGGCAGGGTAAAAGCACACTGACAATACAAGATCTGCTCTGAATATTTCGCCTGTGCTCATGATAAATATAAACCAGGATTTGTCACCTCCAACTTTATTTATCGACCTCATGTGTCCAGGAGGTGTTCAGTTTCACTTTTTTCCACTGTTGGACACCACTCCCGTGCACGTAAACCAGCACAAGACCACTCGCAGGAGCCATCTCTCTGATTTGAAGAGCACCAGTGGAGCCGGGTAGTGAGCTGCAGAGTGGGGTTTGCGTTCAGGGCTTTCGCTGGCAACACACAGGCGCCTCGGCCGAACGAAAAACTGAGTTTTGGTCAGTCAGAGTATCAGAGCGCACAGATCTTGCACGTACATAACAACAAAAATATTTCTGTAAGTTATTTTGCGCTCGTTTAAAAAAAAGCAATTAATAATGTCAAGAGCCCTGTCCAAAAATATAAAAGTGTCTGCCTTAGAATTATAACACAGGAGTCACCGAGGTCTGGTTTGTGTTCTCTTCATTGCTTTATGGGGTATAATGGCATAAATCCTCAGTAGCGTGGTCCGATGTGGCCCTGCAGAAGTACAGTCGTTTTATCTGTTCTCCAGGGGGGGCTCTGACTTGGAGCCTTTCAGCAAATAATATCCAGACAAATGAAAGATCAGTGTCTAATCATCATCTTGTAGGAATAGTTTCAGACCTCTATAAGTGTGTGTATGTGTATATATATTATATATACATATTCTGCTGTACAGATGCAAAGATGTGGAAGTGATCCAGATTAGTTATCGGAAATTCCCTGTAAATTTTGAAAGTACCGCCTTTTTGTTATTTCTTCAGTGCACAAGGACTCCATCCTCTGTCAGCTGTAGAGGAAAGTTTGTTCAGAGTCCCCACCCACCCAAAAATCCAGGCTCCTTCAGTGTCTGGGGAGACACCATCCTCCCAGCAGGATTCTGCACAGACATAAAGGTTTGCCAGGGCAGGACCGCTTGCGGAACTGGGGGTGGACATGCGAACCACTACAGTAGCTTCCCCAGGAGAAGACACAGGAATAAACAGGAGTGAGTGTGTGTTCTTGCATGCCTGTAGCACAAAGGGTTATTTTGTGATGGATCTTCTGCCATGGGGATGAGGAGTCAAGCGAGAAGAGAGGCAGGCAGAGATGTCAAATTGTGTTGACAGGGCACTACAAACACCAGGCGACCCGGTTATCTCTCACTTGGATAATTCTCATCAGCAGGTCAGCTGAGAAAGCATTTTTTCAACTCTTCTGTGCAATGTAGGTCCTGTGGTGAGGGGGCTGGAGCCAAGGCTGAGAATTTCTCTTTGCCAAGGCACTGCCTGGCCACCTGGAGGGACCTCTGATGTGGTCCTCTAAATGGCATTTGGCCTCAGTGGAAGATATCCATTATATCTTGGCAGAATCGCAGAACTGCAGAATCACAGAACCACAGAATGGTCAGGGTTGGAAGGGATCTCTAGAGATATCCAGTCCAACCCCCCTGCCAGAGCAGGGTCACCTACAGCAGTTGCACAGGACAGCATCCAGGAGGGTTTTGAATGTCTCCAGAGTGGGAGACTCCACCACCTCTCTGGGCAGCCTGTGCCAGTGCTCCACTACCCTCACAGGAAAGAAGTTCCTCCTCATGTTAAGATGGAACTTCCTCTGTTCAAGTTTGAGCCCGTTACCTCTTGTACTAGGCAAGAAGAATTATTAAAGGAATAGAAGCACTTTGGAAAAATACATTAAAAGTAATAACTGCTGCTTTGAGGGATAAGGATTTTTTTATGATAATACAGCCCTTCCCAATGCGTAGCTATCATTTCTGCTGTATTTAGCACAGACTTTTCCCGTTTTTCTTGTCGCAAAGGCAGGAAACGCATTTGGGGTCAGCAGGCTGCCAGCCGGGGCCCGGGTAGGATGCCTGAGGAGCAATTCCCCTCTTCATGGCTGTTTCGCCCCGAGGAGACCAGCAAACCAGCCGACTCCTTTCCACGTGGGTCTCTTCTTCAGGGCCAGCAAGCGTGGGACCTTCTGTTTGCTGCGGAGACCAAAACATACCCTGAAACATCACCCATGAAACTGCTGTGTGATCTAGGTTACAGATGTGGTTAGGGAGGTGCTGCTGTTGGCTTTGCTCGCTGTCTAGGATTTACAGCTTCTTGCTTAGCTACAGAGACTCGTGCCATGCTGAGAACATGCTGTCTAACAATAATGTTCTGGAATATAACACGATGAAACTAATTGAAAATTTCCTCCCAGTTACCTTTTGCGACTGCTTATTATCAAAACACTTGAAAGTTTTTCACTCGCTCAGCTCCGTGTTTCTTTATTTCTTTAGGCTGTGACTCGTCGCCGAACCTGACGTCTGAGAAAGCCACAGATGCAGTGGATGATATCTTTCAGTCCCTCAGGGATATTGCAAGAGCTCGAATGCACATGAAACAGTTTAATTCCATACATAATGCAGGCAGCAACACCCACCAGGCAAGTCAATCTTTCTCTTCCCGATGTGTGTTATTTCTCCAGCGCGCTGTCAAACTTACAGCACTAATTTTGCTGATGTGCTAGTCTGATATGTGCTCTGCCCATGTGGAAGATATTTAAGGATGGATTTTATAATTGACCTAATCACCGAGAACTTCCTTCTTCATCCAAACTCAGGCAGATCCGTGTCAATGTCAACAAAGAATTGTCTGAGGAAGAAATTTGGGATTCACTCTGCAGCACTGCGATATGCCATGAATGCCTGTGAAAGGCAGGGCTAGGGCAAGATGGTTCTGGACTAATACCTCTCCTGACATAGCAAAGCGGGATGCCCCCGCATCCATACAGCAGCTGTATTCCTGTGTATTTTTTCTCCCATCCCTATAAGCGTGAGAGGCAGTCCCATTTGTAAATGGGTGAAAACTGCAGCTTTTGTTCCTAAAATATGCACGCACGAACGATGATATTACTATAGCTCATCAGGACTAATACACAGTGGTTTTCTCTCTCTCCATCTCCCCCGAAGTGTTTTAACTTTTTTCAGTTAAAAATAGAGTTTTACAATGGAAAGCACGTACAGTGATTTAGAGACAGGCCGTAAAACTTGATTCTGGCCTTGATCCAGAAAAAAAACAAATCCTTCCAAACTCATAAGCATGCTGTAGACCAGCAGAGGGGTGTAGTTCAAATTAAGCATTGCTTTGTAAGAACAGGAATTGGGAGTGTTGCAAAATGTCGCTGGAAAACTAAGGTGGAGAAAACCTGTTACTGAAGTCGCCTAGCGGTTAGGACCAGTCTGGTGTCTGAAATGGGGGAAAATTGTTAAATATTTAATACAGTTCAGTGGGGGGAGGGGGGGGGCGGTGGAGTCAGATGATAAGAAAATGCCCTCTAAAAGTTTCCTGGAAGTGTAATTAGCATCAGTGTGTTCTTTGGATGTAACCCAGGTTGTTTGCTTAGGGCGAAGTGCTGAAGCGCACCGAGGGATGTATTAACACCTTGCAGCCCCCTAATCTGGCTGTGCGACGGATTTAATTGCTTGAATAGGACCAACCCTCTGCTAAGGGCAGTTTCAGTGGGTTTAGAGTAGCATAAATAAGCAGGCAGTGTGTTTTTTTCCGTCATAAATACAGCTCTCTACAAATAGACCTATCTTTTGACTGGCACGGGTTAATACATGGCTTGCGTGCGGTCAGTTTAGCTCCTCTGAAGATGTTGTGCCCTTCCCATGGCCATACGCATTCCCGGCCCGGCTTAGTGCTATGGGAATGGGTTTAGCCTGAGGTGCTTTTCCGCTTTATCTATTAGGAGTTGGGAAGCCTCCGTTTCTTGTTAAGACTCAAAAAAAGGTTTCTATAGATAAGTAAGTGGGAATTGGATAGCCTCTTGAAAGGACTTTTTGTAGCATTGAAGTTTGTATGTCTTGCATGAAGAACGTTTTCATCAGGTTATTAAACCAGTTTGTGTAGCGACCATGCAAGAGGAGGGCATTTATTTTGCCTGATATTGTAACTACTGTTCTTTTCTTTTCATCTTGGTCAGAAGTATATTCCTCCATCCCTCTCTGCCCCCCTCCCTCCTTCCATCCCTTCCTCTCCTTTTCTCATTCTCTTTCTTTCTCTCTCTTTTTCTCTCTCCTTTTCTCCTTATAATCTTTTCTGAGGTACGTCCCGTAGCCATCGAGGTTTTTAACAACTGTTTTAAAAACAATTTGTGCCCGCCAAAATTTAAAGTTGATAAGAGTTTCATTATATGAGTTAGAAATCAATGCAGCTGTTTGGGCTTGTATAAAAGATAAAGTAAAAACTCCCTAAAAATGTAATAGGTGGATGTCAAGTCATAAAAGATTTTGAAAATATTTGAAACTAGCATAGCTAAAAAAAGGTAAGTGATCATAGTATCTGCCTTTAGTATCTCTGTAACCGAACTGAATCCTTTTGAAGGGCACTGAGTTTTGGTGCTAAAAATTCAGACATGCAAAATCATAGCACATTTTTAACATCTTTTGAGTACATAGTTTTGTCTGAAGTCAGATAATCATTTTCCTTTAATTTCATGCAGTAAGCCTCTCTGTTTAACTGTGACTTGATCTCTACTCCAAAAACATTTCATTCCTAATGTCTTTCTGTTCCTCATCTATGAAGATAATAAACAGACTTTTATACACAGGACTTCATGCCTGCATGTGTATTTTCAAACAGTTGTTTATTGCGTGACTAGATTTGACACAAATCTTGGCATGTTCTCCTAAAAGATCCTGCAGCTCATGTCTGCTGTAATTTGCTTTGTTGGCTCAATTAAAAATTATGCACGTGTTGTGAGAAGAACTAGATGAGTTGTATAAACCTTCGTTGACAGGATTGTATTCAAAAACTGAGAGTTTTGTTTCTCACTGTAAAGTCTTCGATTGAAAACATTTCTTTAATTACTCCAGAAAATTTTAGTTTCAAGCCAAGCGGCTTGCTTTTTATTTTCCATCCATTTTTATGTTTATCTTGCATGATGTCTCCTGTAGATATCATTACAAAATGAATGATGTTACGCTTGATTCCCTCAAGAAATCTAGGGGATGATGTATACCTGGGCTAGTCTCAAAGCAAAACACATGTGCTAATTTGAAAGCTTCTCATTTTCTAAGAGTGTTGAGCTTCCTGAAATGATTGTGGTTCCGTTGCAGTTTGGGCAAAGTTGAAACCAGCAAAGCAAAGCTCTATCTGTAAAGCAAGTGAAGTCAAATTTTCATTAAAGACTGTCTTTCCACAAGTCCTGAAAATTTTTATCTTGGAAACCTTTTCAGGATGGCAGAGTGGTTTAAACCTTGGTAAAGGAATGTGGAAATTTCTAGGCTTCTAGTTCATATTCAGCACAGGTTCGTAGACCCTCAAGAGGATTCAGGGTGGATCCTTTGGAAGCGGATCTTCCAGGATGCTGACCATTTGTACCCTTATGTGTTCTACTTTTCTTGGTCCCTAAATTCTCTGAAGCTCTGACGTGCATGATGTTGGTGGGGTGGTTTGGCCTGTTTTTCTAAGGTTTTCCACAGGTGGAAGTATTATGTAGAGTGCCCTGGCTGTAGAAGCAGAAGGACTAAGAGGGACTCCTTAGCTCTCCTCTCCCATGAGGGACAAACAGGCAGGTTGGCCTCTTCCCAGCCCTGCTGATGTCCAGGCTTCAGTGCTGATGTGACGCCTGTGGGAAGACAGCAGTGGTCAGTAAGCAACTCCTCCTAAGAAGCACTGCATAAGTGTTTGTAAAATCATTACAAAGGGAATAAGCTCTTCTGGGTGCATGATGGGCAACGGGGTGTCATCCCTAGTGCTGTCCCTTTCTGTCCGACCTCCAAAAAAGATTTCAGAGAAACTAGAAGCCCCCTTTCTTCCTTGCCTCCCTTTACTCACGTAATACACATGGGGCAGAGTAAATGTGTGGCCATCTTCCTGTCTGTCCAGTTTGGTGCTGTTCTGGTGCGCACCGTTTGCCGTCCAAGTCACAAAGACCACTGCTGCTTCTGTAATTTTTTAATTCTTTGAATGGTTTTCTTTCTAGGATAATTATTTTTGTTACCTGTAATGGAAATAAAATCTTTAGGCGCGCAGGTGCACCAAGTCTAAACAGCTTTACTCACAGTGCATTGTTCTTTCTGTGCAGGCTTCTTACAAACCACTGCTGAAACAGATAGTGGAAGAGATCTGTAATCCTGATCGACCTGATCCTGTTGATATTGAGCACATGTCATCAGGCCTCACCGATCTCCTTAAAACTGGATTCAGCATGTTCATGAAGGTAAACCAGGCCTCCCAAGCTCATCTCTATGATTTTCCTCAGGTCATAGCATCGTATGGCAGTAGCTGATTTTTTATATTTGGGTTGATATTGTTGAGCAGAACTTCAGGGGCGGTTAGGAGAGTTAAATCCTTGCAGGAGGGCATGCATTGCAGGTACAGTACAGCTGGGTAGCACCTGCTGTACAAAACAAGGAATGGAGCAGACTGGACACCTAGATAAGGATGGTATGTCTGGGAGGAGGCAATGTGGCTGTGGAAGTCCTACCTCACATCATAGCTTTTGGAGCTCATCAGAGACACCCACCAAGGAAACTGATAAGTGAGTGCCAGTTCATACAACCTACCTGGATTTCTAAAAGGCATTTTGCAAGGCACCTCATCAAAGGATTTTAAGGACACCGAGCAGCCTTGAGATAGGAGAGAAGTAAGTATGAACAGTCAGGTCTCACAGGGGAGGAAGATCACCAGACGAGCTCTATGTTCAGTGCCTTTTCTCTAACTTGATCAGATTCAACTTGCAGTGGGAAGGAAGGAAACCTGTTAGTCAGAAATTGCCTTGTGGACGCTCTTAGCATGCTTTAAGACAGTCTTTCTACAAGACCTTACTCTGCTTTACAAATCAGGCTATGCTAAGTGTTTGTTAAACGTCTACAGAGGTGAAGTGTGGAGTAGCTAGCATGCTCTACGTTCGGCTCTGTCTTACTCCATATCCTGAATTCTCCATTGAAGAGTATTATGTTACAGTATGAAGTGTATTTTGGCAATATGTACCTGTAAGCACCTGCATCTCTGCTAGTAAGAGAACCTTACGTAAGATGAATATTTCATAGGCATCATCACATACCTCGCAAATGTGTCTGTGCTTGCTCATTTAGTCTGAAGCCTGGCTTGTTGGCAAGTGCGCGATTATTGCATGAATGAGTTTCTGACCAGCCTGTATTTCTCACGCAGGAGGATCTTCTCCACTTACTGCACCATCAGCACTGTAATTATTTCATGAGCTTCCTTATATTTTTATTTCTTCCTCAATGCCTCAATATAAATGCCAACTTATATAAACGTGCTTTAGTAAGTGATGGACTCAGACATGTTCATCCAGGACAGACTTTTAAAGATACCTCTCATCCAGAAGTTGTTTCTCTGGTGGATGTGTTTGTTTTGAAGCTTAGGGAAGGTGAAGGGAAAAGGCCCCCCTGACAAGGATTCCTTTTTTGACTGCTGTTCTAGAACACACGTGGTTTATGATGATCTGAGCTTGGTATCATTGACACCAAGTGCCTTGCATGGCAGTCTAGTTTCTGGTGATCAATGTGTTTTCCTTTTTCCAGTTATTCAGCTAAATTAATTGGTTTCCGATTGGTCACAAATACCAGATGCATTGGTGCTGGTGTCCTGATTGGCAGAGATACCCTTCCTGGGGCAGTAGAAGTTGTTTCTGCTGACTTTCCTCAGAGGAAAAGTCTGTGTTTTGTGATCTGCCATGAGAACAAACCTGTCCTCCAATGTCTTCCTGCTTCAATTTCAGAGTTCTATTGACCTCTGTCACCCCACTTTCACATCTCCCCTGCTCCCTCTCCTCCACACAGACACATGCACCAGTAAAGAGCCCTCTAACCATCAGCATCCTGAGGAAATGCAGTAGTGGTGGGCTCAGAGCTGGAGAGAAGGCTGATGTCCTGCTGGGATGCTCTGCTAGTTCAGGGAACCATTCCTCCTTCTTCTTTCAGGCTCCTTTGCTCAATGTAATGGTTTTGCTTTTTTCTTGGTTAGTCTTTCTAATTGCCGGAGATAACCTTCCCAATTTATATAATGCATGACAATTTGAACTGAAATTGAATTTCAGTTGGGGATTTTTGCAAGATTCAGATTTCACAGTAAATGCCATTCAGAGGCCTCAGAAATGTCCCAAAACAACCGAACTTTAGAAGGATCCCAGAAGATACATGTTGCTTTTGTTGCAGTCCATTTCAGTTCTTCTTCTGCATCACAGAAATGAGCTGTGTTTAGCTACACGCAGCCATTTCTTTCAAAAGAGAGAGCCTTGGGTGGTTGTATTATCAAACAAAAAAAATCTTGGCAGAAACTTGCATTCTTAACACAGCCAAATATTTTGTACCCTAAGTATTGTCCTCCTTCAAAACACTTGTGCATAGCATAACAAAATTACAGATTCCAAGACCCTTTTCATTGCAATTTTAATTTAATTTAGAGTTTGCATGCCTAATAGTATTTTTAATATGCGTTTCTGGAATTCGTGGTTTGAACTTTAGTCTTCTGAAAAATAATAAGTTTTATATAGGCACCATGTGTTTGGATCTAGGTTTATTTTGACTGAAGGAAATGATTTGTCAAGACATTTTCTCTTTAGTATTGCCATGAAAGCTTGTGTTTTCCGATTAATGCTCTTATACTGGGTGTCCTTTCAGTGTGTCCAGTGTTACGCCTGCATGTTTACGATGACTTTGTTGTTGCTAGATATTAGGAAAGATACTAGAAAAGAGAGGCGTTATTCAATATCAAGCTCCTGAAGTTCAAGCTCTTTTCATATGTCTTGGGTCCTTCAGAAGCTTCATGAGAGGGAGTGGAGCTGTTTGCCCTGGCGACAAGATTAAGAAGAGCAAAGATCCACGAAAAGGAATAAAATGGTAGTTTCTGTATTACCTTCAAATGCCGTAGCAGACTGTTTTGTCAACTTTTATCTTTACCGTTTTTGCGCGTAGTTATTTCTTTAACCTGTGTCACTGCTTACAGCAATTAGGGCATGAAACATCCTAATATTTTAGCAAGTAGTAGCTCTATCTGACCTGTTCTGTAAGTAAATATTTAGGTCTTACTTAAACTCCTCACGATGTTTGTAATAGGAATGGACTTTTTTTCATTTGAGCTTGACACTCTGTTATATGCAGATAGTAAGAAGTGAGTAGTCTGATGTGGGAAAAGTGCATAAAGAAAGTCTTTGTCAGCTCTGGTGTATCCACTTAATTGATCTGTTGGTGTAAACGGAAAATTGCTCAATATCACACCGGAATTCCAGGACACCCTGCTGAATTGTAGTATAGATGCTATCCGTGCCATCAGTTCAATGACGGTGGCTGGCAAAGTGGAGGTGATTAAGAGAATAAATACCCAGTGCACACATACTCGGCACATTAATATACTGGTTTCAAACTCCCAGGGAGTTGAAGAGCTCCCTGCCTGGGGACCAGCATCGAACAGGGAGCCCTGTGTAACCACAGGCCGGCTAGCCCGGACAGAAGAGCACGCCATCCCCCGGCGCTTGCCTCAAAGGGAAGAGTCTCTTCTGAAGGTTGCCAGTCAGTCAGAAAGCCTGACGGAGCTGCAGGATGAAAAACTGCCCAAAGACTAAATATAGGGCAGGCACAACAAGGAAAAGAAGAAGTCTACCCTCAGGAACTAGAGTCACGGGGATCAAAGAGAGCTGCCGTGGTGGTGAAAGCACAGGAACTGCGCTCTGCCCAAACACGCGTTGACGACCGCTTTCATTCTGTCGAGTGAACGCTGTCGAAAACCTACGCTTGTGGAAGGAGAGGGGGCGGAGAGTCTAAAAAGGAGCAAATTAAGCTGTTCTCGCTGTCACGTTGCGGAGCCACACATTTGGAGTGTTTCTTATTCGAAGGTGGTGTGACAAGAGCAATTGCACCGGCTCCATTGACATCGTTCCCAAAGAGCGGAGCAAGGCATTGGCAGGGGCGTGTGTTTTGTCAAGAAAGAAAGAGTCTGCTAGGAAACGGCAAAGTAATCAAACTTCTAGAAATGGTTAAGAGGAAACTGGTGTAAAGCATCACCTTCATGTTTAAAATTAAAATGCGGTTTTTATAAAGTCTTAACTGGAGTGGAATGTTTGTGCCATTTTAGTGATAATTGGGGAAAAATGAAACAAGTGTTTTGTTTGAGCTAAAGTTTCTCTGTATTAGTTACAACCCAGCCATAGAAGTATTGAAAACTCTGAAGTGAAAGAAGCTAGAAACTGATTTTATACTATAACGAACCTGATTTATTTTCATTGGATAAATTGTAAAGGATTTTTTTGCTGGACTGCTGAAAACACATTACTTACGATTCTTTACATTGCTGACCTCAGGCGGGGATTCTAGCATGTTTAGGCTGGACTCCTTGCTTCTGCTGGGTAGTAATTTACCCCTCATCCTTTAAAGCCCCATGCATATGTGTATCCAAACTGTGCATCCACCCAAGTACTCTCCTCCCACTCTGGGAAAGGTAGGGAAGAAATGAAGAAGGAATGGAGGGAGAAGCCCTCAGACCTCATGAAACTCCACTAGGAGTTCCCTGGAAACAGTTCATTAGTTTTAACTGGGCGTCAACCCCATTGATTTCCCTCTCAGCTGCTACAGAAACCAGCATTCCATTAATATTTGTTTCTGGGCTTCCTCATTAGTTTTCCTCCAACAGCTCAGGGAGACGATGACTGTTAGACTATAGGTTTGGAGCTGGATTGGGCAACTACAAATAATGCTTTCCTGCATTTTACAGGTGAATCGCCCTCACCCTGGTGACAATCCTCTTCTGATCATCTTTATGGTTGGTGGAGTGACGGTCTCCGAGGTCAAAATGGTGAAGGATCTGGTAGGGACACGCAAACCTGGTACCCAGGTAAAAACGGCTCTAAATGTGCAGTTCCTAGCTGAACAAAGAGTAAGAAAATTCATCAGATAATGTTCCCTGTAGCACTGGTACCAAACCTACACGGAGCCGCAGTCACAGGGACAGGAATGGTGTTAGGATTTTGCTGTGAAACATCTGTAGGCAACAAGCGGTCAGGCATGAAGGGTCTATTTTTCACATGTTAGAGTCAGCAATAAAAGTTCAAACTCAGGTTGGAGAGTTGAGAACAGACTGGCATTATTCTGCATATGAAAATATTCATTTCTTGGTATTCTTTATAAACAGAAACATTTGCTGTCCAAAAGGCTACAGGCTCCCTGGCAGTACATCTGCAGGGATGCTCAGAAAGAGCCTGCCAAGGGTCTGGGTACCATCCAGTGACGCATCAGTGGTGATCCCGCAGACAAGTCAATTGGCATTGCTGAGGAGGAAGATAAATTAGCCTGGATACAGCTGTACTGGTTTCTGGTCCAGGCCAGGTATCTCTGATAAATATCTGACCGCTAAATGCCCTAAGTAGCCTGAGGCAGGTGATGTGGAGGAAGCCCCAAGTCTCTGTGGCCCTTGGATGTGCTGTCAGGCTTCTGGAAGGAGAATGGCTTCCACAGTGAAGCTTCAATAGCATCAGTGCGGCTGGTCTTTGTCTCTGCCACCCCCTGGCAGCAGAACATCTGTCATCTGAATGGAGTGGGGAGGGAGAGGAGGAGAGATGGGCTGTGCTGGCGTCCCGAGATTTTAAAAATCATTGATAACTGTGGAGGAGCAATCAGGTCTCTGCTGAGTAGTGCAGATACACCGGATGATCTAAAAACTGCAGAGAAGTGCTGTGTAACCAGCTGCATCGTAAACATAAGTCTAGTTTTTCCAGGGTGGCTTGTAAACATCTTGTTTTCAATTCCCATGGAATGCGGTTTTGATTGGTGAGAAATCGTTAGCAAAATGGAACCAACCAAAGGCTGAGCAGCCCCTGGGTTTGACATGTGTTTTCCACGTTTTAGTCGTCTTTACAAGGCAGTCTCAAGGACTATTTTGGAAGATGGAGTGCCATTTTTAGCAATGTTTTTTTGATCTGATAACACGTTTCTCCCCAATTAGCCTATTGCTAATCAATCTTCTCAAAACAGCGAATAAAATTCTTTCCCATCTTGAAGGGGGATTGAGTTGTGACACACTGATGGACGAGTTAATCCACACCCGAAATGTATTAATACACCCTGAAAGATGAGCACAGGGTTAACACGTGAGTTGGTTGAGAACTATGCAGGGAGACTTTTGACTGGCTTTCTAGAAGGACTTGAGGCTTGACAATGGTGACATGGGATCTGGTGTTGCTTTGCTGGGGCTTAACCCCGGCAGCAGGTCACCCTCTGAGGCAGATTCCTAAAGAATTTTAAGCTTTTACTGCATCTTGCCCTTTGTCCAAATGTGCTGTGTTAGAGGTGAAAGGACGTGGGGGGAGAGGCGGGAGGAGGAAGAGAAAGAAGAAAAGAAGCAGTTGTGTGAGTCTCTGATGTAAAAAAAAAAAAAAAAAGTTTACGCGTTTGTTGGATTTACCTGGATTTCTGCACTATAGCTGTGAATATGTGCCACCTGTTTGGGATTATTCTCCTTTCAAAAAGCCAGGCATTTGTCTAACTCGAGCCAGCGTCTAACAGAGCTTTTTTTGTGGTGTTCAGGCATCAGGGGAAAACTGGCCTCCCCAGTGCCTTCCAGTCAAACAAAGCACTGACATTTATACTAATTATTGGCTTTTGGAGAAATGGAGAGACGTGTGGGTGCAAAAATAAAGAACCGAGGAAAGTAACAGAAAAACTGACAGGACGCACTGATTACTTCAGCAGTTATTTGGAGTTGAGGCAAATGACATTTAAATGCGGAGTAGGAGACATGTTTCCCTCCACAGAACTGCTCTGCATCTGAATATGAATGACAAATGTATTTCTCATGGAGGAGCACAGAGGAATACAGCGTTTCCTACGCATCATTTGGTTTTGGATGGTGGTGAATAGCTCCCCTAACCTAGTGAAAAGTATCCTGTTTTCAGAGGAAGAAATCACCCTTTTTTCCCCACTTTACTCAGGAGAGTTAAAAAAAGGGGAAAGAGCATGAGTGGGTGTTTCACCCTCCCAACACCCACAGCCATCTGCACGGTTGTGGCTGAGGCATGCAGACAGATAAACCCCTCCAGATGCACCATCAGATGTTAGCTGCATCCTTCCCTGCCCTCTGCTGAGAGGGAACTGCCCCTTGCAGCACAGTGGTTGGGACCTCCTGGCTTGGGATGGGACACCCTGGCTCCTCCACCCTGGCTGCCATGAGGAGGGATAGCCCTTCGGGTGAAGCATCAAAGACAGGCGCCCTGTACTGAACAAGGAGAAGGTCACCAAAGGAGCTACGCTGTCCTGAAGAGACCTGCTTGGAGAAGGGATGTGCATTACTTATTTGGGCAATTCGCCCCTTCTCTGTAAAAATGAAGGAACAAATATTCACAGTTATCCCCCTCAGGGAGCCCTCAGAGATATTGGGGGGAAAGGAGGGAAGTCCCACTGTATTTCGCTGCGTCCTTTCTCAGACATTAAAGTTGCAGCTCTCCTTTTTCTCTCTGGGCTTGCGATTAGCTGCCCAAATTCCCTCAGGGTTCAGTGGTGGGACTCTGAGAAGAAATTGCTTTTATCTGGCAGTGGCTATTGTTGATGTTTGGCTTGTACACCCAAAAAACTTTGGTAACGTGTCCCCTCGTGTTTTTCAGAATTAAGCTGCGTGATAACAAGATGAGCACATACTGTGCTATAGTCGGATTCTCACGTAACATAAGTAACATAAGTGTCAGCCTTTGGCATCTGCAAATTACAGAGTTTTTCATCCATAGGAAGGAGAAGAGATAATCAGTGTCAGTTTGCCGCAGATTGTGTGGGAGGACAAGGGAAGGGAGAAGTGAGGGGGAGACTATCATCAGTACAGAAGGGATCTGTAGTAACTTAACTCCAGATTCCTTTCATTATTTGAAGTGAAAAGATGAAAGAAAGAACAACAAAAAAAGTTGAAATGCAGCACTACCGCACATTTAAGCCGGGCGATGAAAAGCACAAGCGGTTTGATAGCAACTGCAGGAAAGGGACACACAGACATACTCCCTTGTTGATGCTTGTGCTGCTTCTCCTCGGATGTGCACTGAAGAAGCAAATTCGTGTTCAAATGGGCTGGTAAGATAAATGTGTCCCCACATCCCTGCCTGCGGTCATGACACTACTGAGCGTGGGGCCTTGTAAGAGCAGCGTCATACAAATCTGACCCTGAGTTAGCTCCACGCAGCGAAAGCATAGGGGCTTGCTCCTTGCTGATAGCTTTGTCCTGTCCTTCACGCTGGGCACCCGTGCACTGGTTTTCACTTAATAAAAACAGATACCTGCCTCTAGCAGGGTGCGTATCATGGCTGTAGCGAGCGACAGTTTCATTCATCAGACCCATCTTGGGTTAAAAATTTGACCAAACGGAAGTGATAGCGTCCCGAGCCGATGGCTTGAGGTTGAGCCTTGGTCCTGGTGTGCAGAACAGCCTGAGCCTGGTCTGAAGAGACGTTTCTGATTGGGGACCGTAGCTCTCCACAGCTGGCCAGCGGCACTTCTGTGGTGCTCGCCTTGCCTCCAGCTGAGAGGAACCAGCCATCGCTCAAACCTGTGCTCCGGGAGAGGAAACCCCAGCTTCATCAGCTGCTGCCTCCCAGTAAACGCAATGGCAGTCACAACAAATCACCGGGTAAGATGTGGGTAGAAGTGAGTCAAAGCACGCATTCATTAAGAGTGCAATGCTACCAGTCATTATGCTCCTTAAAGTGATTTAACTACAGTTATTAGCGAGCAGACAGTTTCACTGGGCAAGTGGTATTGCCCTGTCAGTAAACACCAGAAACACACAGCCCGTCGAGCACTGGGTGAAGCAAACAGCTCATATCCGTGGCTCGTTAGCGTGATCGGTCTCGGTCGCCTTCATTTTGACTTGTTGTTTCTTTTCCCCCTTCTTTCAGGTCATCGTGCTCTCCTCTGCCCTCCTGACGCCACGTAGTGCTATTGAGCTGTTGTTTGCCACAGACCGTCTCCAGCCTGACGCCGATATCTAACGAGGGAGGATCTGCAGAGAAGATAAGCGCGTGCCTCGGCTGGAAACATCAAATCCCTGGTCCAACACCCTTCCCGATAGCCTTCCGACAAATGACAAGTCCCCTGCTGTAGTGATGGCTCCAGCTGAAACGGGGTGAGGCAGCTGGGTATCTGCCTGCAGGGGAACACGTGCAGCTTGGAGGCACCTCTTCAAAATGGCCCAGTTGTCCAGCAACAACTGCCCCCTCCTTAATGGTAACACCGCGCGGTGCTGAATCACCCCAGCCCCGCTCTGGGCGGCAGGGCTGATCACTTGTAATAATTCCCTAGAAAAGGAGCAGCTGAGGACCAGGTGATGCTGAATTTGCACTCCCTGAGCAGTATTTTTCTCTCTTGAGTGTTCCCAATGGTTTCTCTGGGGTTGCTTCTGGTGGGAAATGCTGCCGAGGGAGTGAAACACTAGCGAAATCCACCCTCTCTGCCATGCTGCCTTGCAACACCTGTGCCTTATACAGCATTAACCGCCTCTGCTCTTACTTCATCTCTGGATTTCACCACTAGAGGTGGAGGGCGATGGAGCACAGCCCTGATGTAGCCAACAGAGCAGCTCCCAGTCTGGTGATGCTCTCCCAGTGGGACTGGTAGGGGCAGAGAAGCAGAGAGCCAGACTCAGGGGTTGCGTTACGTACGTGGTTGCTTCTCTCTCAGCTTCCCCTTTCCTGCTCTAGTTTCTCCACCCACAGTCCCGGGAGAAAAGGCTGTTTCTGATGGCACACTTCTCTCTAGGTTTACGCAGGAGGACATATGGGCTGTGATGGTTTGATGATAACCCTGGAAGAATCCTCCCCTCACATGCATTTATAAAAGAAAAAGAGTTAAAAAAAAAAGCACGATCCCATTTTCAAGAGGCCGCAGCGACAGATTCTTTCTTGAGCTAGATTTCTGAACAGCATGATTAGAGAACAGCTTTTATTTTTAATTTATGATCATGAAAAAGCTGCTATCAAATTCAGTTATGTAATTTTTCCTTATAAAACTTTGATACGATCTGTGATAAAAAAGCAGCAGCCGGTAGAGATTGTGATTGCCTACAGCACCAAGGCTTCAGAATCGCAACATAAAATGGTGGAGCTCTAAAGCTGCATCCTCTTGCTTCATCCAAGTGATGCTCAGACTACTGCTTACACTGAGATGAGAATGTGAAATTATAAGTGACATTCACTCTATCATAGCATTCCTCATTATGCCAAAGGAATAGATGAAATGGGAAGTAGCTTTTTAACCTTTGTTCACTAGCTAGCATAAGTTCTCTTAAATGTTTATAATGGTCTTCAGAAAAGGGTGCATTTTGATTTAAATTCACTTTTGAGTGGCTGGAAGGAAACAATGGACTGATTATAAAGCATGGACAATGTTGCCTCTATGGAAGAGAGATTTATAAGAATGACTATAGAATGGAACTTTGTGCTATAAAAAATGTGAAATATTATGAGATTGCAATGTTAAAAGCTTGAGAAATAGTTTGAACAGAGCAACTGGAACGCAAATACCCAGTCTCTTGGTTTCTTTTCTGTCCTTCTGTGCTGTTTAATCTTAGAATATGGATGTTTTGTAAATTCTGTAATCAATAAAGCAATGCTCTTACAATGCCAAACCTCATCCTTCTTCTCCTTCTCTCCTAGTACACAGCACTACGCACGGCAGGGCTGAATATTCCTGAGACGCCCTTTTCTTTTGCACTATTTGTTGCCCCTAAGAACCTAGACCTTCTGTCCTGGGGGCTGTCCCAGGGGTTTCCACATGCTGCTGGTAGCAGAAAGGCTGTCCAGCATCCGGTGGCCATTGCTGGCCAGTGAGTTCAGGTACTCAGACCTCTGAGATGGTGCTCTTTCCTGGGATGATGGAGCCTGACAGCTGTGGTCTTCTCTCCCTCACTGTCTTTCATCAGATGCTCTCAGGTCCCTGACTTGGCCATCCGGGGACATACTATATAGGAGAACCGGAAGGGGGTGAGTTTAAGCAGACACTGCTGCTCTTGCACTTCCTACGGGTCAAGCATCTCCTCTTACTGAGACAGAAACTAGTTTCCCAAGTCATCATCCTCCCCCTGACACACACACACACGCTTTGGAGGAATCTAGGAATCTGTTCAGCCAGTGGGGCCACAGCTGTGGCAATGGGTGCTGCGACTCGGCCACTGTCTCATACTCAGGAGCTGAAGACCTGAAAGGAGACGGTCACAAGAGCCTGCTCCTCTTCTAGACCAAGACTGGAGCGGAGCCTTTTCACACAGAGCATGTGCTCAGGGAAAAGCCCAGGGCATGAGAGGTCTCCTGCCAGTCACACGTGAGCTGGAACAGCACAGAAAAGACTTTGCTTGGGCAGATGCAGGACCACATCTAAGCCCTCTGCGCGTGACACTAAGCAACACTCAAAAGGTACGAGGAGGAGAAAACACAAGGTCACCCTTGGCAAATGTGTTTACTACTGTATTAATAAGCTCAGATCGCATGGCCAAGCTCGATGTTGTTCCAAAGTCTCGTCCTAAGTCACTTAGCTAGTAGCTCATGGTCAAAAAGATTATCATCAGCAGGACCTTGTCAGGGTTTCCCTGCAGCGGGTGTTACTGCTTCATGCTGCCCCGGTGAGCCTGTGTGGCAGTCACCCTGGGCCCAGCACAAGCCTCCTCCTCGGGTAGGGTCTCCCTAAGGCTACTTTAAGCACGAATAAAATGATTGGAGACTTGTAGCAATTTGATTAAGTTCTTCATTGTCATATAACTCAATATATAAAGCTGCTCTTTTTTTTTTCTCTTAAAGAAGAAACCAGAAGTTACTTAAAAGACTCAGCATTCTTCCAGATTTTGACCTACCTTACATCCTTGTTTTCTTACTGGAGGGTTGGGTTTTTTTGACCAGGGAAGATAAAGAATCCCATTTTAATTTGAAAGGTCTCTGCCTTATTCAGTTCCTCTCCTAAGAATTTCTCAGAAGGAAGTTGTAAAGCAGTTGTGAGAGCTCCCCCGCTGTGGTTTATGCTAATAAAGCAATGGCAGAGGCAGGAAAGGCCTTCTGACTCTTTCTGCAGCGTATGTTAACTACCTTAAGAAAACTACTCGCCATTTCACTGGTTATCGCCCATTGTTTGCCCCCCACGAAGAACACACAGGAAAACATGCAATTCAAAAATTTAATGTTGAACCAGGCAGTAAGAATGAAAAGTCCACTCCCCACGAGGAGTTAACAGTACACAAAATAAATAAGTTACAGTTTAAACAAAAGCACAACTGGCTTTTTAAAGTGCATGTGTATAAGGCCTTTAGCCTGTGAACTCCATTGGCTCAATGTAAAAAAAAAAAAAAAAAAGTTATATATATATATAGGTCTGCCACACGTATTTAAGGATGAAGAGGGACTGGCTCAGCTCAGAACAAGCCACCAGCTTCATTGCCTGGAGCCAGCTGTGTTTCGCACCGAGCTGAATCACAGTCATATCCCTTCTGTGCCCATTGCACCGAGAGGAGTGTCTTACACTGGCAGTTATAATGGACTTCCACTCCCACTCCAAGCTCATGCCTCAAAAGCTCCATGTTGGATCATTTAGTCTGGACAATTTGGGGTTTTGGTTTTTGGTTTTGTTTTTTTTTTTTTTCCCCCCAGACAGTAAGAAAACCCACAAGTTATTTGTAGTCAGATACGTTTACACCCCATGGACAATAGTTTTGCATACAAAGGGTCTGGTCCAGCTGTCAGCAATAGCTAGTAAAAAAATAAAGGACCATTGTTTACAATCTTGATACCCAGTTGTGTCCACTTATCTTTACAGAATGATTTCATGTTTGCTTATTTGTTTGGAAATACATGGGAAACGACCATTATTACTGTGCAATAAAATTAAACAGATACATCATGCTGTCCTTCATCCAAGTGAAACAAAAAAAGACTCGAGTGGTTACTTCTGAACAGTGAAGGGCAGTTCAGGGCGTTTCCCTGCTCAAGTACAAGAAGTTGAGTTACAGCGAAAAGGTTGTTTCTGCACAAGCGTTAAGTCAAATCTGTCCCATTGGAGACAAGGCAAACTGAAGGCTTGTTTCAGTTACTGGAAAGTTCCTTTTCCAAATGAAAATACTCTTCTACAAGTCACATCCTAGAACCTTTTGTTGAGTTTGGGCTTTTTTTTTTGTTGTTTTTTTTCCTCCTTTTCCAATCTGCCACTGTTCCTGTTTGAAGCAACTGCTGCTTTCTACAGCCATGCAGAAAGCCACCTGAATCATCCTTCTTTCACAACGCCTTGGACTCTATAGACATGCCAGTGTTAAACACCCCAAGTTTCAATCTCAGGCTAAACATTGGGAAGACCAATAGCTCTGCCGTCAAACAGAAGTGACAGTCCTCACTTTGGCAGACAAAGCTTGCTTAAACCTCCTCTTGAGATCCTGCATGTTGGGCGATTTTGGCCGTGGGATAAGGGAGGTTCGCCTTCTCTCGGGGGTGCTGGTGGTTTGCTGTTTACTGACTTCTTTACAGAGGAGGTGGAAGGCATTGAAGACATCGTTATAGTTTTCACTGACAGACACTTCGTAGAAAGTACAGCCCAGCATGTTGGCCAGCTGAAGTCCATGCTGAGGCTCCACCTCTTTGACATGCAAGAGATCGGCTTTGTTGGCTATGATGACAACAGGGACCGCGTTTCCTGGGTGCAACTGTCGAACGTGATGGTAAAGGTGACTGAGTAGTTCATAGCTCTTATAGTCTGTGATGGAGAAGACAATCACCAGGGCGTCTGCCCAGCGAATGCATCTGTTCAGCTGCTCATTACAATCCAGACTGTGTTCGTGGATCTGAAAAATGAGTGGTCTCAAATTAGATAGCTGAAGTCATAAAAGATTAAAGGAACCTGTCTTTAAGAGTCCATAAAGCCAACTAGCATTTTACAGCTTCAGACATATATATTTGCATTTCACATTGTAAGTACAAACTTAATCTGAGCGCGGCGAATACATGCGTGTTGATTCAGCTGCAAAAAGCTGGAATTTAACACTGGAGTTTGCTATACTCAAATGGAAAATTGACCTGAGTAGTTTTGCATGCAGAGAAAGACTTTGTAGTTGCACAGAATGGGAAATTAACTGGCTAGACAGTAAGTCTGGGGAAGCAAAGATATGAGCTGGAAGCATTTAGACCTGGAGTGTTGCCCAGTTCAAAAAGGCAACAATCCAGCATTACTCAGGTCTATACATTCAAAACTAACTTGTGACACACTAATGAGCACAGCCACAGTAGGGCAGGCTTTGCTCTCTATCACACACATTTATAAAACTTGTTGGGCAGCGGTCATAACGTTTTCTTCCACATGTACCTTATTAGACACAAAACCAGAAACAATTCTGTGCAAATGTTCCCAATATACAGGAACAGGACACTTGAGTAATTCAGCCACGCAAAAGTAACGGGCCTCCAATGTACAAATGATTCATCAAAACAGCGAGTTGTTTTCTTTTACCAGCGTACTACAGGCACGCAACACGTCTGGCTTCACTGGTTCTGCGAGAAGTTACCCCCTCTCCCACACAGAACACCGGACTCTGAAACGGACCGTTAACGAGATGCTGCACGCGGGGGGACACACGCAGGCACAGATTTAGAGCCGCTTTGGCTGCGCCTCGCTCACCTGAACTCCTGGAGTATCTTGCACTTGAATAGCCAACATCTCTCCATCCACCTGGATGTGCCTGCTGTAGAGATTACCTGAGAGGAACACCAACAGGTTCACGAGTGCAGCCACCGCCACCCCACAGACAAACGATGCTTCTGCTGCCCGTTAGTTGTGCAAGAAAAGTTGTATCGCCATTTATGAGGGGAGGGACCACTGTTACAAGGGTTGTTTTTTTTTTGTGTGGAACAACACATAAATCGGTGACTTTACTAGAAGCCTGGGATTTAATCTTGCATTGACTTGTTTGGAGCTTGGTGTTTAATATTGTGCAACTTGGAACTTAATCACTTCTTAAAGACTGTCTTAACTTAGATGAAAAACATAAGTGTGCAAAATAACCAGCTATTACAGAAAGGCAATTTTCTTGTCATTCACAGTTTCTGCACTTAAACCATTTTTCTAAAGAGCTCTCTGCTGGCTGACCTATTTGTTGGGTTGTTTTGTTTTTCATTTGTTTGGCTTTTCCAAGCCGTTTCTTCAACAGAATGCTGTATATTTTACCTTCACTGTAGTTTAGACTTCTCACTGTACTACACTCAAGTACATCCCATCACCTCTTTGCTTTCCCCGTTAAGCTGGCACTGCCTGGATCACTCAGTTTGCTGAGTACAATGGAATATTAGGTTTACAGAACGCTTTCGTGTTTTAGCTAAAAGACTCCTTCAAGGAGGGGGGAACGTTCTCACCGCATAAAGCGAATTCTGGTGGAGAGCGGAGCCGCAGCGTAACCCGGACGGCGCGTTTCCCGGGACAGGGATGCGCCTTTCCCAGGGCTGCGCAGGGAACAAGCTTTAACCGCTTTGCCCCGGTAAAAAACACTCCTGGGAGACGACGACACCCCGATTTTAAGGGTTTTTTTTTTTTCCTCTTCTTTTACACTTGGGACCCAGCGCTGGGCGCCGCACGCCGCCGCCTTCCAGGGCTCGCACACACCCGCTCCCCAGCCGGGCACCCCTCGGGGGGAGAGCCGCTGGGGCCGGGGATGGGGGAGGATGG